ACGACAGTACAGTGTACAAGAAAAGACAGGGCAGCGTTACAGTGTTTACTATAATCAGCAGTCATAATATCTTCAATGTCAATAAGAATCCCTTAAGACAGACTGATCCTTTTTAGGACGTTTTGTAGGTCATTCCAGGTCATAGTCATGGTCGTAGCATTTACCATCTGCTCAGCTGGTGCTATAGGAAGAGGGGGAAGTTTACTGCAACATCACAGAACAGACCAGGTGAAGTTTCTCCATCCTTCTGGACGGACAGTTTTGTTGAACACTTTCCTGTTGGCAGATGATCTTCTGCTTCAGTCTTAAATATGTTGTGCATTCAACATTGATCTTGTGAATTCTTCAATTTAAGTCATTTGTAAAATGAATTTTAGGATAAACTCCCACAATACAGTTGGTCTCAAATCTCAGATTGAGCTACCTTAGGAGGGAAAACTATCACCTAAACCATTATTTGTCTTTTGTTGTTGTTGTTGTTTTTTGGGTTTTTTTTTGGGGGGGGGGGCAGGGGGGGTTCAGGGCATTTTTATGTAAATCATAGAGATAATCATGCAGGAAAATCCAAGCAGATCCATAGTTTTTAGATGATTTTATGCCTCAATGCTTTAAGTTGTAACCATGTGATATGAGAAGGAATCAGAAAGAAGTATTCACTTTTTCACATTTTCTGGTACATTCTCACATATCCTTGATTCACAGACTGATTATACTGACACAAAAAGGGTCCACTGCTGAAATTCCCACTCAGACTGCCATGAGTCACACTGTCACCGTGGCAACAGTGGCTGCTCCATGCAGAACACATTCTGTCACATAACTTTTTTTTACGTTTTATTTTCTCTCACTCCCTCATCCGCTCTGCCACACACACACACGCGCGCGCGCGCGCACACACACACACAAGCAACTTTCATCTGTATCAGTGAATACAGAACTGGAGTTGCACCTTTGACAGTTTTTTTTTAACCAAATCCAATGTAAAAACGTATACTTTTAAAAAAACTGCATCCGTCATTCAGTCGTTTTGAGACCAGTGAGATGAGATACGCTGTCAACTGTGGCAGCACTGACACCTTTGACCACCAGGTGGAGTCTCCCATCAGTACCATTACACTGTAGAGGAGAAACAGGGGAGGAGGAGGTGTGGAAGGAGGTGGTGGGGGAAGCCTTTCCTTGTTGCCTGCTCTATCCATCTCCATAAACACAAGCAATAGTCATTCTGTAAAAAACACCAGCAAAGATAAATGGAGGAGCTGCCTGGTTACTCTGCAGGCTCCCTGGTTAGTCGCCCTGGACTGGAGCACCAGCTGCTGTGAATTTATGACTCTGTCTGAAGCTGCTGGTCTGTCTGATTTTGTACATCACGTCTGTTACTAAAGATGGACTCTTGCATTTGATCAGCACATCAGTACTCAGAATGAAGTGAAAAGTACACATGTTGATTGAAATGGTACACAAAAGGATCTGTATAAGTATTTTCAATTCATATTCAGTCATATTTGTTTTTCATTAACACGTACTGCAGCACTTCATAAAACCAGAGATGGCTCTAAAGAGTTGTGGTACGTGGTAAGTGTTCCCTGGTAACATGTTTGTGTGTTGTTTTTTTAACAATTTAATGCAGCCTTAAAAAATTAAATGCAAAAGTCAAGCTTTTAAGGGAGATGTCAGGCTGAGTTTAACACAGTTCAACACAAATTCATTCCTAAGTCTCATTTCTGGCATTGGCTCTAACCAGACGAGCCTGGAATTGAACCCCAGACTTTGTGATTGAAAGACATCTGACTTCAACTGAAAAGCTTTATTACCTGTTAAAAATCTTTAGCAAAACCATTTCTTACAAAGCTGACATAGATTCCTTTTTAAAGACGTGGGATTTGTGATTAAAACAGTAAACTTCTACCATTTAAACCATTAGAATCAATTTGGACTTGTTATTTGCACAGAAATTAAACTATTGGTTTTACAAGTCGTTAAAATTAAACAATTATTCAGTTATTTATTAACAATTAAACAGAGCTTTTGAGTATGCGCTGTTTGTTTTTATGCGGCTGCTGAATGAATTGGTCTGGTCTGTTAATCATTTCTGCGGTGTTTGGGAATTAATTCAGGAGTTACATTAGGGCTTGACTTCAACTGTGTCTGAATTCATTGCAGCATTTATCAACAAAGGGACAGAAGTGAACTCTTCACTTCATTTACAAGATAATAGTGTAACAGAATAGACACCATCCTGGACAGACCCCTAGAGCGGTCTCAGGGTTCCACACAGGGTTGTTATAGCGTTGTTGTGTACAATCAGACTTCTATTGGGTGGTGATGTTGTATTAAATACCACAGAGTGTGTGTACAATTCTAATGACTGTGAGCATTATTTACAAACTGTCTGTGAGTTCTACTGTAAATGACCCCACACCTGAAATTTAGACCATATATATATTTGAGACTAGTGTTCACCCAAGGTTTGTTTTGTACACATTCTCGGGTCATTACCATGAGTGTAAAGTATTTTGGAGATTTGTTTAGACATCAACAATTATCTTCAGTTAACTCACAGCTTCTGTGATTAATGTGCAAATATTTCTGAAAGGTTGGCTTTGAAATTGTTGGTTGTTGTTTGGAACGTGGAACATTTTCCTTTTCCTAACCTCCCTGAAGTCCTTCACAAACCACAGAAGACTGATACTCGTGGAAATTAAATAAGGAAAATCCTCACCCTATCCCTAGGATAATTTTTTTTTAATAACAGGTTTGTTTGTCTTGTGTGCTGAACAAGTGTTTGATAAAATTAATATTTTCTCCATATTAAAACAGACACACGTGTGGACTGCTGCACTCACACACCCTGGTTTATCTCACAGTAGGTGAAATGAGATGATGTTAAATGTATACACAAAAACAAACAAATATAACAATGCATTTAAAATTACTGGGATTATGACTGTTATTGTGTGCACATTTCAGTAGCCAGTACCGTTCATATTGTGATTCTGTGTTGTGGTTATCATTGCTGGAGGTCTATGTGCCTGAGACTGAAGCAAACCGACATATGTTGGGAAAAGTACAGAGAAAGTCCATGCATTGCTCATGAGATTGATGATTCGGTTTTCCTCCCTGTAAGTGTACTGGCTGTGGCACAACAACACATCCCTCACTGCTGATGGGTTACTCTTCCACTGTGCTGCCTCAGACCTGGTGATGTATCTCAGCCTCACTGGGTGCATAAGGTGGAGTGGAGCCATGTGGAGTCACTGTTAGGCATCAGTGGAGTGCAATTTGGTGCAGCCCCCACTGCAGCTCTCACTTCTGTCAGAGGGGAGAATTTTTCCTTATTTTTCCAGCAACATCGATGTGTGAATAGTTCTATCAGCACCACTACATACTCACAGACACATTTGGGCAGCTCACCCTGCAACCATGGTAACAGAAGAATTTTACTAGTTGGCAGCAACCAATAGTGGGACAATTTTCACTCTGCGTTATCCAATAAGAGTGCAGCCTGCAGCCCAGCCCACCTACAACTGACAAGGATGGGCTATAGGACAGGGAGGATTTAGACAGGGGCTTGGCTAATGAAGAAGTACTAGAGTAACAGTGTGCAGATGTGCAGTGTGTGTGTGTGTGTGTGTGTCAGTGTGAGTGAAGTCAAGTTGATCTGATCACAGAGGGCTACCTCTCTTTCAGAACATTGCAGAGTGTTACACTCATTCACTGAGACCCTCTGACATTCAGTAGCCACAGTGCAGCCAAAGCCCTCTGTCATCTTACTCCCACACACTTCGCACACTCACTCACTCACTTGCACACATGCGATGGCCCTGCTGGCTCTTATCATGGATTAACTTGTAGGCTTGGTCGTGTGACAAAGCAAAGCAGTTTTCAGTTCTTAGTTCAGAACTAGGTTACAAGGGGCATCACTGGTAATCTGACCAGATCTGAACCTTCAACATTGACGTTAGTTCTATTCCATTCAATCATTGCTAATCTATGTCTTACAGCTCTGCCTTAAAAAAGAGAATGCAGGCATTTACTAATACTTTCTAATTATGACATTTGTCAGAATCAGCTCATGTGAAAAAAGCTGTTGTTTTAATGCAGGGTTCTCATATCAATGGCTATTATGTTGCAAGGTTCAATACACAAAACTGTATACAGATTAGCAGGTGAAGTTTAATTACTATTTACCAAGGTCAACTGGGTACAACTGTGATTAATCAACATCTCTTAGCTGTCTTTCATAACGTCGCTCTAGATCTACCTTAGATCTACCTTTTTAGCCTAAAAGGTAGATCAGGATCTACCAGTAGATCTCAAAGAATCCTGAGCACTTACATTTACAGAAACAAGAACTAAATAAAAATGATGGATTTAATTCTATTTTAAGATGCTAATCACTAGGTCTCAAGTAAGGACCATAGAGGTATTGAGTCAGACGGTATTGTGCCATACAACTACAGCCATTTAATCAAAGTAGTAAATATATATATTTATAGTTTTTAAATGTAGGTAGATCACTTTACCCCAGTCATTTGAAAAGTAGCTCCCAAGCCGAAAAAAAGTGTGGGCACCCCTGCTCTAGAAGATGCTCGCACAGTAGTTTTGATTTTACTGAAACAGGAATGTTGTACCTGTTGTGGCCTGCTAACTAAGGTCAGGGAACATGATGTCCACAGCACCCCCTATAGGGGGGGAAGAGATAGATGGTTGGCGCAGTGGTAGCTTGGTGGTTAAGGAAGCGGACTTAGATCTGGAAGATTTCTGCTCCCCGGGCGCTTAAAGCTGTCCACTGTTGACTTTGGTGATGGGTTAAAGCAGAGATCACATTTGGTTGTGTGCTGTGTCACAGTGACAATAATAATTCACTTTAGATGGAGCTACGAGCTCTGTTCAAAAAACACTCTTACTCCAACAAGTATAAGGACAAAGATTAAGAATTTCTTTGTACGACTAGGTGCAGTAGGACTTACACACAAGTGACTATCAAACGTGCCACATTCAGCTGTCAATAAAGTCATTTATTATTTCACACAATGGATAACATGAACAACTTCAACTGTAGTTCTTCTTAATAAGTGCTCAACGTAGCCAGCCAACAGAAGGTTAGCAACCGAATGAGCTTTTCTTTCAGAGAAAAGAAATAATAATAATAATAATAATAATAAAAAAACAATAAACAAAAAAAAAAAATAAAAATAAACCTACAAGATCATGGCAGAAAAACATGACCTAAAGCATGCCAGCGGACATGGATATACATATATATTGCATGTATATATGTGCTTAAGACATATATCTGTAATTTTAAATACAAAATATATGTGTACATTGACACATACATACCGTGAAGGATATATGCATATGCATGCACATCTAGTATTTACTCTATATGTCAAATATTTGCATTTTTTTTAATATTCATACAATGTACAAAAATGCTTCATGAATTAAAAAATTCATTACAAAAAGAAACATATCAAACAATATACAAGTCTTGCTCCAAATCCAATTGAAATTCAACTTTTTTTTGTGTCTAAAATATTTATGCATACAGTCAAGTTGAACATGCAGATAAAGGAAACCCACTGTAGAAAAAGGTTCAAATACACTATGTATACAAACTAAAATATGCCCACACTGTTAGAAGAGCTCACTTTGTGCTCTGTAAAAGTACATTTATTGGTTTTCTTAATGCAATGTTTCATATGCACTTGTCAGCTGTGAACAACATTATAGCTTATAAGTGTAAAATACGCTGCTAGGATGACTGCATGTACATTTATGAGACCGTCTTACACACACCGCCTCTCACATCATTTGTAGGACATCTCATACATTATAGAATGCTACAAAGAATCAGAGGAAGGTGATCGAACCTTAGGTGCCATAACATCTCATCCTTGGTGCTGTGGGAACTGGTCTGGTTTAGGGTCAAACACTGCTGCACTGCTCTTGAAGCTGGCACCAGAAGCAACGTAAACAATCCCTACATCAGTGTTTGGAGGGGCCTCCTGTGGCCGCTGGTCCAGATTGGCTGCTAAATACAATGCATTACAACAGTGACCTTGAACCCCAACCACAGCCACATTCTCTGTGCAGTCTCTGTGTAAAATGAAAGCTCTGGATTTGGACAATACTTGTCAGTGTTAAAAGGCACCGGAGCATTGGCTGGTAGGAGAGACAGACAGGACACAAAACACCTGGGCTCTTGAACTTATACATCAGAGACCACTGACCAACCACAGTATGAAGGAGTAAGCTGCCAAGTGTTTAGTTTCTCGACACCTTATGTATCACATACCTAAACCTGGTTTTTCACTACAACAGACTGCAGACCTGCTCAAGGTCACCTGCCGAAAAAAGGTAAACCACATTAGCATTAGGACGACTGTATTTTTGGCTGTTTCCTCAGAGAACTCCCCAAACACCGCACACACAACCTTCTGCTTCTTGTTATTCACGTTACTGTATTGGCTGCAGGCAAAACTGCTGCAAGTCAGTAGAGATTTTTCTATTTTTGGTCGAATGCACTTCAGTGGGGTTTGTAAAATCAAAAATTGTGAAAAGGTGGGGTAAGGCAAATTATTTCCGCTTCCTGTATTATTAAACAGAGTGGAATTCATAGAAACAATGTGCTGTAGAATCTGGTGGGTTTTCTTGGGTCTTGAGCAGTCTTTACAGAAAGACAGGGTCCGCTGTGGTTTTTAGGAGACAGTCCCAGCATTGATGAGGCCCAACTGGTAATCCATGCAGGATGGACATTCTAACACTATTTACAACAAACACGTTAATACTGTTGTTTTACATCTGGTTAAGGCTGTACTGCAAAAAAACTGCAGTAACTATAGTTTTTGATGAAATGATAGTCACTTTCTGCACAAACTTATTACAAATTATTACTGGTATTATTCACAATTCTTGTTACATGAATTCTTCTTTTTTTTTTTTTTTTCAGAAAAAAAGACCACTTATTTTTGTCTTTGTTGAAGGGTGGACTCAGGACAGAAATTCCTTTTAAGGTCATTGCCAGGCGTGGCCTGATGCATAGCAAACAACAATGGAGGATAATGTGGTTCCCATGCTGAGCTCCTCTGATCCAGAACCTGTTCAAATGATGTATTTAAGTGGTTCTACCCCAGGCAGAGTAAGAGATCTTCAATTATACAGTGTATCTAGGACATGATCAATACAGCTGGATGGTTATTATATTGATACAGTGGCCATTTGTGTTTCCTACTACTGTGGTGAAGCAGCATGTAGGCAGTGTATGATGTGTGTCTAACACAGTACTGTCTTAGTAAAGCCCAGCCCTTTCATTTAGTTAGAATGATAAAAACATTAGCCGAGTGAACTGATCAGTGCCCAGTGACAGAGGATGCTGACTATGGAAAAAAACATAAGGGTGTCCCGATCCTGAAGGTTTCTTCAAATTTTTCATCTATGAATTGTCCAAAAATATGAATGTTTTGACACCAACTGCTCTAAACACAATACGTAATCTAAGCATGCTGTCAGTTTCAATATAGGGAATTATATATAGCGCATTTTATAGTGGACTCATCGGTCAAATGAAAAACGGTTCCGGCGCAGAGTTAAATACGCAATTAATGTCGAACAATTCAAAACGGACAGATGTTCCTCTCTGTGCGATGTCGTCACGACTGCATTAAATGATGGGATATATTGCTAAGTACATCCAAAGATTTTGCTGTGCATTGTGGGATTTATTGAGTGACCTATATAGTGGACGACTTCACTCACTATACATTTGGACACCACTATACAATGGTGTGTCCTCTATATAATGCGCTATGTAGAATGTAGGGAGCAGTTTCGGACACAGACTATATGACATAGTCATAAATTGTTCACAGCTGAGGTTTGGGGATTGTTTTTTTCCTTTTGCCTCTAATAATGCTCGAAACATGATAACAAGTGCTATGCAACGTAAACTGGCCCATTAGGAGACACCAGACATGGGGGCAGCAGGAGTTATTTTAACTGCAGTGTGGTACAATATTAGGGACAGAGGAGCAGCAGGAGAGCAGAGTGGCGTGGCACAACACACCTCAGTAATATTTGTAAGAGAATAAAGTTGTAGGTTTCAGTTACTGCCTTCTTCCTGTAGAACCTGACAAGATATGAAGTGGTTGGTTTTACTGGTTTTAAATGTTTGAATTACAGAGTTTAACTGGGACCCTGAATAATCTGATCGAGACGTCCCTCTGAAAGGGAAAAGGATTCAGGATTCAGGATTGTGTAGACAGACACATGGGTCATATGAACAATCATGGGCTTTGAAATATGGTTCAAATTTCTAAGGCAGACTTTGCCATTTGATATTTCTCTGGTTAACTGTAAATTGGTGAGAGAAACATAAGGCACAAATTTAACTGCTGTAAATGAGAGTCTGAATCGACTTAAAAAAACTGAAACTCCTAAAAAGAAAAAAAAGCTGATCCATTGCTTATGTTCCAAAACACTTGTTTGAGAAAATACAGACCAAAGCCACATATACTGGAGACAAGAGTTCAACAAATGTTTAACATATAAACAGAATGATTCAGAGACAGCTACACATAGGAATTGTTTTTGTAGAATCCAATGTAGAGTTTGTCAAAGTTAGATTCAGAATATTTCAAATGAGACATCAGTACACTTAATACTCTGACTTTGGTTTCTACACCGTAATACTGGAGTTATGCCCTGAAAATGTTTCCAGGCAAATGTTAAATCTATGTTACAGGAATGGACTGGGATCAGCTTTAAAAAAAAAAACTGACTGAGAGCCCACTTCTGCTGAATGGTTCAATTAAGATTCAGACTGGGACTTGGGTTTGACGCGTTTGGCTGCGCAGCCTGCATATACAAATTGATTAAAATGATGCATGCTCACTGGAATGGATATCCACACCATCAAAGGCCAAAAAATAAGGCTGGAACAAGCATGTAAGTGCTGCATTTGATTGATGCAAGTGTTATGTTTTGTTTTTTTTGTTTTTTTCATAGTGCATTAAAACCAATTTTAAGGTTTTTCAAAAATACACCTGATATTTCTTCTCTATGCAATGCTTCCTGCATATAAAAAAATAATGACTTTAACAATGAATGAATGAATACATGTGGTTCTTTCTGTCTGAAAACAACCTTGTCTTGAGTCACACCCACCTCTCTTTTTGGTAATAAAATAATACACAACTTTCATTGTCTATGGTACAACAATTCTACTTCCACATACTGTGCGTCAGTAGATGTCTATGAGCTGCTTCTTCAATGTACAGGCAGGCAGGCAACAGTGGAACTTGTTTCCTATGTACAGTCTGGGACAGTCTCATCCACAGTATTGCCTTTTTGTAACTGCCCAAAACAAGCCTAAGCAGGCAGGGGAAAAAAACACAAGACAGCAGGGAACACAAGCAATGGGAGATGTAAAACATGATTGGTAGAAGAAGATGAGACAAAGGAAGATGGAGGTGAGCTGCGGGAGCCAGGGACGGCTAAAGAGTTGGTGAAAGAATTGGTGAAAGTCAAGCAGGGACAAGGATCAGGGGAGTTGGGAACTGCCAGGATCTATGAAAGGGCTCTGAGCAGGAGAACAGGGTAGGAAAAACAACGAGGGCAAGTAATTAGGTAAGGTGGCTTGAATACTGCTGTATTTTTCCACATCTTTGACAGGGTTCCCCAGAAAGGCAAAAAATAAACAGAGCTGCACAGTTTTATATCAATCATTTCCCATCCCCTTGCTGGTAAATACGTGGCTAGAGCCACATTGTAGATACAGTATGAAAGTAAAGTACCGTACACATCACTGTATCAGATACGTAAAGAGTCACATATTACCCTACACTATTAGAAGTACCACGTACTTTTATCAAATAGTACTGTATAGTGCCATTTAGATCAAAGTCTACTAAACCCTAGAAAGGCTCATCCTCTGGTGGGGAAATCCAATAGACTAATGCCCCTTTAAGTGTTCCCTCCTTCTACTTCAGCTCCAACTGAGCCACTACAGTCTTTCCAACACATCAGAGAGAAGAAACAAGTCCAAAGTGCTCAGATGTGTCACAATTAAGGGCACTGCATCTTGTAGGCCTGCAGCAGCACTGGTTTTGTTCACAGCACTGCTGCTCTCTTGCGACTACTGACTGGAGGGGGCCCATAACTCGTCCATGCTGTGGCCCCTGCCTCTGCGTTTCCCTCCTTTGGCCAGTGGAGTCACCGACCGTGCCTGATGCACAACTTTCTCAATGGTTGCCGAGATAGAATCGTGATTGGACAAATCCAAAGACTCGCGGGCCAGGTTCGGCCTGAGGGTCTGCAGTCCTGACAGGTCATCACACCTCTCCAGGACAGGCATCCCCAGAGTCCTTCCATCGCCTCTCTTACTGGCCAACATGTCCAAACTCAGGCCTTCAACATGAGCCTCCTCCCTCTTGTTTGTTGGCTCTGACTCCTCTAAGGGTTGTTTCCGGGGCCGCCCGGGTCGTCTCTTAATGACGTTATTTCCCGTTTTAGCTTGTCGCTGGAGTCGCTTGGTGCGCAGGATCTTCTGCACGTGCTCGAAGTTCAGTGAATGCATCCTCCTGACATCCTTCTGAATCTGTTCCACCTCCCGACGTTTGAACCTCCGTTTGCTTGGTTCACCTAGGAGATAAGAGTGCACAAGCGTAAGTGTGGCTGGTCATAGCGAGGTAAAAAAGGAGCAGTCAATGAACAGAAAGGAGTTTTCGTGAAAAATGAGGAACCTTGAAAAATCTACAAAAGACATCGTGCCAATTAGGCTCATGCAGAGAATCTTTTTTTTGCTTCAAGAGCTTCCTGCTAATTTTGACATATTCATGTAAACCTCTTAAAGCCCAGCTGAGCCAGAAGAACATATCCTGTCCTGTAATTGTCTCTGAGAAAGGAGAGAAGGAGATCCCATTCTCCTGGCAGGAAACCCACAAAAATGTCTCCTTTAACCATTTAATATGGTGCCACACAATAACAACCCTGTGCATCTGCAGCCCAGGCTGCTAAAATGCCAAACACACACACACACAAGAACACACATGTATACATTCACATGCACATTGCACAACATGCACAAATAATGGATTTGGCAGTCCAGAGAGACTGAGTGTAAGAAACTAGAGCCACATTGTTTCATTCACAGTGGTTAACTGGCACTTTGCCCTTTGCCTGCTGTCCCGTCCTTTCTTTTTCACCTCTTTCTCCATCACACTCCTTCTATCTTCCCTCTCTCCTCTTCATGGGTGGGAGAATGCTACTCTCTATTTTTCAATTAAACTAGTATTACTTCACCACCTTTTTCCTTCTCCATTTCAGAACTCTCTTCCTGGTCTTGGTTTGTCTCTGTCATTAATTTTGTTTCCCATCTCTGTCCCATTTCTAGGCCCTGCAGCCCCCTCCTCTCTGCCTGGGCACCGTTCCCAGAGCTAAGACTCAGCCACTGCCAAAATGGAGGAAAAGCACAATCAGCCACCAGTCCCTAGGCGGTGTGCATACAACATGCTTGGTCTCCTTTTTCCAGCTTTAACTCCTATTTCTGGATTCCCCCTCCATTTTCTTTATTTTCTCCAGATTCCTGCTAATGGAGTGCAGCGGTTCACTTCAATGGGAGTGTTAAAGCACAACAGCTCTGAGTTTTAGCTACCTGACACAATTATGAGTAATGCATCCAAATTGATGCACACATTTTAAATCCAAAAATAACAGATTCAGCCTTAAGTATGCCATTTCTATACACTTAGGGATAATCTATAATTTTACTCCAGTAAATCTTCAGAAATTTGCAATGATTTGCATTAATGATGATATTTGTTCACGGCTCTGAAAATATGTGGACCTTAAGCAGCACATATTCAACATAGCTCATGCATCTTGACAGTTTATTATAATGAGATTCATTATTCAACACTCTCTTACTTCAGTTTTTCAATCTAAGGGGATCATCAACACAAGCTTTCACAATTTGTCATTTATTCCTCCCTGACAGTTTAAGTGAAATATTTTTCTGGCTTTAAAAGACAAAGGCAAACTTTTCCAACACTTTCAATGTTATTCTGTACTAAAACTAGTTTAATACGACCTATTTTAAAAATCTGAAATCAAATTGGAAATAAGCTGAAGAAGCACAAACGAAGGTACTTGTACTTGCAGCAGCTTGGATAGGGGTGGTAAAATTCTAAAAACTTCCTTTGAAGGAACATTGATGTCTGCATCAAACCATACAGAAGTCAGTAAAATAGTTTTAAACAAATAAAAAGTCAGCTAAAACTGAAGTTTTAAACATATGACCCATGGGCTTACTAAAGAAACAGTTGCTTGTGATTGCTTTCACCATTTGCAATCACATCATAATGAAAATCTGTTCTGCATAACCATAATCTTACCACAATCCACATGAATCATTCCTGTCTGTATTTATTTGGTTTGGTTGGTCAAAAAAAAAAACTTCAGTAGGTGATGCTTCCACTGTCCTAGGTAAAAGTTGTAATTCACACTTTTTCCACACTATGTTAGTGTCTCTTGATAGCTGGAGCCAATCACAGCAAGGGAGGGGTAAACCCTGGACAGTTATACACCTGTGGTCAACTTAGTGTGTCCACCTGAGCTAATCCTGCAAGTTTGGACTGGAGAGAGAAAACCATCAGCTACCACCAGGTCCCAAATTGGTGATCTTGTTGTAAAGCAAGCACACTAACCACCTGTGCACCATGTGGCTACCTGGCACTGGGATATAGAAATCAAACAGTAAATAGTTTATGCTGAGACATTTTAACAGTTCGATTTTTTAGTTTGATGTTTTTTAATGCTGCAGTTGTACAGCCCTCTTCATCGTTACTGGATAAATCGGGGTCTGACTACCTTCTCTCTCAAACCCAGGGAGTAACTTCCTCCATTGTTGCTCTGGTATTCAAGGCAGACATTCAAATTAGTCTAATGCGGAACCCGCTAAGTAGCAGTAGTTTATGAGCTGAACAAAAGTGCACACAAGAACACTCATGCGCACACACTTGTGCCTACACACACATACACACTACAAAGTAACAGAAATTTATGAGCTGCACACACAGAACATAAAACCGATGACCTTCAGCAGTGTGAGGGGCTGTATAGCACCGAGGACCTGTTCCTCAGGGGAATAGGAAGTCGCTGTACAACGAACAAATACATGCTCACTTCTGCACTGCCACTGCAGAGAAGTCACCCCTAATGTGTATCATTTGGTGGTAGTGTTTATCAGCATTAAGGAGTGTATGGGGAATGTTTGGACAAGTCATGACAGAAAGAAAACAAAAATGTAAAAAATAGATGTATAAAGATACACTTAGTCTCTTACACAAAAAATAATCAATAATGTGGTATTTCTATTAGTTGGTAGATTAGTGTGTGCCTCTGTGTTTATGTATTTCTGTATATCCGTGCTCATTAGCGTGTGTCAATGCTGCCATGTGACTGCATATGCAGGGATAGTGCAGGGTTCTGCAGCATGCATGTGTGCCGATGTTTTAATTGGACTAAAGCCGTGAAGTGAAGCAGTAAGTCATGCTAGAGGAGGGAGCAGAGGGAGTGGGGGAGGGAGGGGAGAACTGGGGAAAACGAGGGGGAGGGGAGTCAAAGCAGAAAAGAGAAATGGGAAGACGGGAAAAGAGATAGTGAGAAGGGGGAGGGGAGGCAGGGGTGAGGGGATCAGGGAAGTGTGCACACGGATGGATGCTGTGGGAGACAGCAAAAGCAAGGGAAGCAATGGCAAAAACTGCAGAAGCAGCACATGGGGGAGAGGGAAGGACGCTGTAGGTAGCAAAGGTATGACAGTCCTAGAGGGAGAGAGTGGAAGGCAGGATTGTGAGAAGGCTTGGGGGGCGGAGGGTAGGTGTGGGGGTGAGATTGTGTATATGAGTCATCCCTCCTGGATCCCATGGGGTGGCGGTAGTGTTTGGGGGGGCGGGGGCAAAGGGAGATTCGAACTGAGCCCCTGGCTTCTCCACCCCGCCAGTGGACTAGGCCCCAGTCATTAAACGCCTGGCTGCCAGCCAACTCTTTTAACACAGGCAAGGGCCTTTTATGGCATGTCTGTAGAAAATAAATCACACTGTGTGAATAATATATCTCTGGCAAAGGCATTGGCAGGAGAGGAGGAAGTGAGGGAGAGGGGGAAGAGGGAGGGAGAGAAAGAGAGAGATTGGTGAATTATAGTCGTCTCCATCCATGCATTACGTTCTCTCTATCCCCCCAGCCAGATGTGCTCAGAGACAGCAGAATACAAAATGTACCAAAATATTCACATTCAACATTCATTTGGTGCAAAAACCTTGGCTTTACTTTTTTATTTTTAAATTTTGTTCTGGATAATATACTGGATAACAACTTTATTAAAAACATTTGAATACTCTACGCAGGTAAAAATTAAACCCACCAAAACTGAAAAGACCAATTAAAAACTCTGTTTCCAAAAAGTATGTACTTTTTTCTTAACAAAACATTAACACTTAGTGTTTTTATTTTTCAGTTTTGTTCCACCTACTAATTGAACCTGCTGCACCATCCAAATGTGTTTTCACATTCTACTAGTAAGTAAGATTTTAATTGACGCCTTTTATTCAAATGAACAATTTTTGCAGGTTTTAACCCATTCTTGTTGTATAAAAGATCTGAGAAACTTAAACAATAGTCGATATTGTCGAGTTAATAGTCACTGCCTCTGACTCTCCTTACATGAGACCTTTCAGACCTTGACAGTCAGAACCTACAACAGATCTTGACAGTCAGAACCACCAGACCATCTACAAAGTTAGAATTTGTACAGAACGAGGCCAGGCATTGTCCTGCTGTGAGAGAAACCACATTTTTTAAACGTGTCAAAGATCTTTCCAATATTGTTTTTTTTTTTTTTTTCTCTTCTGTTTGGTGGACATTGCTTCTGGTTTTGGCTTTATCTCTTTATACAAAACGTTCCTCTTCCTGTTTTTACATTATTTTACAGTAAATGACTGTTTGGCAATCAAAGCTAATGTACCAGAAGATCAACTTCTGTTAATGATGACAGAAAACTTCCTGCTTGTGGTTACAGTAATTAGCTTTCAACAGGTGAACTGCGTTTTGCCTTTACTGTTCTGACTATAGTAAATCTTCCCTTCAATCAGTACTTCTCAAATAGTGGGGCTGGCTCCCCCGGGGTGGTTGCGATGAGGTGCTGGGTGGGGCATGAGGGGATTCCAATGGAATATGGCACGCTAGGCATAAGTGTACGACTGCTGTAATGCTTGAATAATAACAAGTTTCCAGTCACTAGGTGGCAGCAACTCATGCAGTGGTTTGTACAGATAAAAGTATACATGTTATTGGGTTCTCAAAAGTCTTTCAATTTGCCACTGCCTTAAGTACACTGTTAATGTCAAAACAAGGATGGAACAGGTGCTGGTCCATTTTGGACAATCTCCAATTCTTTTCCACATCATCCAAATATGCAGTGTTTTATCATGCTGCTGTTCAGGGAAAAAAAATCTCACTGTCATGGTTAAAGGAAAGAGATAAACTTGTAAATACAAAGGGTTAAAGGTTAAACAGGTAATCCTATTGTTAGAGGTTCTTACCAGTAAGGGGGGGGCTGGAGCACCGGTTCATCTGTCCTGGCTCCTGCCTAGTAGTTTGGAATGACATCAAGCCCTGATCTCCAAACACAGCGAGCCTCGTTTTCCTGCCTCTTCCACTACACTCGTCCTCTTGTGACCCCAAAAGGGGATCTGGAGCTGACTCCAACTGCTGTGATTGGCTAGCATAGCCACTCATTAAGCTGTTTATAGGCTGTACAGTCTGTCTTGTGTGTAACTGGCTGTCAGAGAGAGAGTGTGTGGACAGCTGGTCTGGCTCAAACATCTCTATGCTGGATCCTAGGCTTGAGCCTCTTCCAATGCCTCTTTGCTTCTCCAGATGTTTTGAAGGGCCCTGACTGGACAATTCCCTCCTGTCGCTCAACATACTGAGACGAGCAATGGTCTTGGCCCCACTGAAGAGCCCACCCAAGTCCTTTCTGTCCACTGCTGAAAGGAGAGGTTCATCTTTGTGCTTGTGTTTGTGCTTATGCTTCCTCTTATGAAGGTGTACCCCTGCAATCCCACCTACACTGCTCATTGAGCCAAGGCCCTCTCCTCTCACGGAGGGTCCCTGGAGTGATCCACTAGCGGTCCGAAGCTTTGGCCCTGCCTGGAGCTTGGAGTGTCCACTGGAGTGGAAAGATTTGGGAGGAGGGACAGCTGGCCTCATGAAGGGAGATGGAGGTGCAGGTCCTAGGGAGTGGTGGGGCAGGTAAAATGGAGGAGCAGGAGGGAAGTAGCCCAGACTCAGTGGAGATGCATAAGGCATCGCATAGGGTGATGCATAGAAATTTCCTCCTGCCAGTGGATAACTAAATCCTTGAACAAAAGGCAGCTTCGATGTTATTGGCTCGTTGGCTTTGGCTGGACGACCACGTCTCCTCTTAGCTTTTAGCTCGGCACTCCTGCGTAGGTATGAGCCAGAGTTACAAGCATAGGAGTCATAGGTAACTGGGTAGTAATGGTGGAAGTTGAGGCGGAAAATGGAGGGATATAGGTGCTGGGGGTAACATGCTGGTCGTCTGTGGGACACTCGTAGCTGCTTGAACTTCACAACGACCTAGAGTGAAGTTAAAGAAAGGAAATGTTAAGGCCAAGGTTACTCAGTTAATCTCTAAAATTTCTTGTATCGTTTCTTACCTCTTCAAACTCAACAAGAAAGTGGAGATGATCCCGTGTCTGTAGGCACTTCCTCTTCCGCCGATGATGCTTTTGTCTTTTCTCCAGTGACAACAAGTTGTCAACTGCAGTGACCTGTCGTTCACAGCGGGCTTTAGTGCTCCTATTTGACGTGTCTAGAGGCGCTGCCTCCACGGCCTCGAACCCACATGGATCAAAGGAATACCTGCAGGACAACAGCATCAAATATTACATTCACAATCCACTTTTGTAAACACTTACAAACCTACAGAGGTGTGGTGGTAATTTGCTATACCTGCGCCGAGAGGCTGGACCCTTCTCAGTTTGGTCTGAGGTGCTGTTATTGTCTGTTCCAATCCCACTGTCACTGGGAATTGTTTCCTCACTGTGGGACTCACTGATGGGAGACAGGGTTACCTCCTTTACTGACGCCACCTCAGATAGGTGAGAAGGTGAGTTTGCCAGGAGGCGAGGAGGAGACAGTTTCCACCCTCCAGAGAGGAAACCTCTGCTTGCTGGCTTAGAAGGCAGGGCTGAGATGGGTTGCAAACTGGGCATAGTGGAGTCAGAGTGTGTGGTTCTTACAGATGGAGCCATAGAGCTAGGAGACAAGGTGTTAGAAGGCACTACAGGGCTCTCATACAGACTGGCTGATGAGACGGACATGGTTTTGTTGCAGCTTTGGGTTTCTGCTCTTGGTTTTCGCCCTCTCTTCTTACCAATGTAGATTGTTCCTCTCTTGCTAACATTTATCTGTTTTCCCAGCCGTGCCTCAATGGTAGAGGCCATGGCACTCATCGCTGAAGTGACTGGGGCTGACGGGGACTTCAGAGGCAGACTGCCATTCTGACTAGAACTTGAGAGGATCTCATTTAGGATGCTCTGCATTTTTCCAAGCCTTATCTTATTGACTGGCCGGGAACAGCCTCGACCCTGCTTTAGTTTCAGACTGTTTGAATTTGCACTGGTGGGTGTGGATGCCATTTGTGCTAGGGTGTGTGTTTTTGTCCTGCTGTTTAGTTCTGCTGATGTTTCTTGTGAAAGAGGGCTTGGTGGAGATGTTGAGGTGCCCTCGTGGATGGTCTCCACAGTTAGCAGTGGCTGCTTCTTGGGTCGTCCCCGTTTTCTCTTAATGGGTGTGTGGACAGTCAGGCTGTCAGTGTTGGTGTAGAGAGGGCTTGAGGGGGTGATGGGAAAGGCTGAAGGTGGGTCTGTTAGGGTGGATGGGCTACTCCGGTTTTCTCTCTGGAGTGATGTGAGACTGGCATAGCTTTTAGCTTTCAGGTAGGACCACCTGTCAAAGGCCTTGGATGGTCTGCTGCAACTTGCTGTAGAGCTAGTGCTGTGGCTGGAACTTGGACTTAGGGCTAGTCTAGGTTTAGGGCTCAGACTAGGGCTGATGTTTATTCTGGATTTAGGGCTTGGACTAGGGCTGACATTAACTCTTGGACTTGGGCTAAGGGTAAACCTAGACTTAGGACTGGGACTCGGGCTTATGTTAACTCTGGATTTTGGGCTGAGGCTAGGACTGATGTTGCCCTTCAAGCTGGGATTGGGACTAGGGAGTCTGGGGTTCGCATTAAGCGTGGGTTTGTTAATCAAGTTGTGTGAAGCTTCTTTGTGTTTAAAGATTTCTGTGCTGACTTTAGGTCGACCCACCGGCTTCTTTTTTATTCTGTTAGCACTCACAGCTGTCTCAGAGTCAGGTCTGTTTGTAACCACCTCTTCTCGTTCAGCCCTGTCTGCCCTCTCCCCCTTTTCTCTTTTATCACATTTGTCTACTTTTTCTGCCCTTGCTCTACTAATATTAAATTGACTTGTGTGATCATTTTTGTAAGATTCCATCTTATGTGCTACTTTGAGTTCTGGGGGCCGTGGCTGCTGTTGTTCTGTGGTGTCAGATTCTTGTCGTAGCTGCGATTCCTCATCAACAGAAAATGACTCATCAAAAGAAGGCCGTCTTCGCCTCTTTCTTCCTTTTAGCTCCTCTGTAATCGTGTGCATTCCCCGGTCTTCTTCATCTACTCTCTTCACAGAAATCGCTTGATCTCCTTCCTCTTTTTTTCTTTCCTCTCTTTCTTCATGAAACTGTTCCGTGGTCTCCTCGTGCCTGTACTTCTGCCTCTCCTCTAAATTTGATGGGCTCTCTGGTCCTTTCTCTGCCTGTCTACCCCATGGTGAATCAGCACAGTGGGGGTTGCTGAGCATCCTCTGGGAGTCCTTCCTGCCATACTTCCTCTTGATGTTCCCAAAAAGCTGTTCGCTGACCTCTTGTAAACCTCTACCCCTGTAGAGTTGTATAAAACATGAAAAAGGAGTATTAAAACAAAGCTAGTGCTAATATTTGCTATTCATGTGTTCATTAAGATATACTTAAGTAAATGGAAAAAGTATTTTTTGTTATTTTAATTATTTTATAAGGCATTTATTTATCTCATTATTGCATGCAATATTTGCAGGACTTCTTTGACACATGAAAGAAAGAGTAAATGAACAGTACCTGCTCAGAGAGGTCAGGTTAAGAATACTGGCATCGGTAACCACTGGCAACTGCAGGTCTGGAGTTAAGGATCGCTGAGGTGAGGGGCTTTGTGATGCAGTTCGTAAGAAAGGTTGAGTGGAATCAAGCAAACTTTTCTTACTCGTCCCTGACCGTTCTCTGGATGCCTTGAAATCTGCTGGATTTGCTGCGGTTGCAGATGGTGCTGCAGTTGTAATCCGGTCTGAAGTGATTTGGTGTTGTTGCTGGAATGGTTGCATGAGAGCTTGTTGTGTTTGCTGTGTGAGAGAGAGCGTGTGTGCGGGAAGGAGGGAGCCACGAAGCTGGTGTTTGGGTGGAGTGTGATCTCCCAGTAGTTGCAGCAGGCCTCCTTCTTTCTGCTCAGGCATTCTGTACTGGCGCTCGTATGTCTAGAGAGAAGAGAAAAAAAGAGACTGATTACTAAACACACCCCACAATCACAAGACAAGCATTATATAGCTGCAGCGATAGATAAATGATATGATAATGTGGTCATTACACTATGAATCTATGACTATTCCATTTCCTGTCTACACTGTATCCTAAGTCAGTCGGTCCTTTCATGGAGATAATACATATGCAGCACTGCGTCCAGGTCTGCATGCAGCTTTTTTCCTGTCAGTCCACATTAAATCAGTGATTTGTTGTGTTCTGAAATGACATTCTTCTGCTTTCACGACAGGACTGAGGCTTTTATTACATTTTGTGTGCATGAGCAAACAGTACAGAACAAAACAAAAGGCTTGTTTACAGAGCAATTAAATTCCTGTGGCAAGGATGTTGCACGCTGTGAGAGCTGGGGGGATGGAGTCAGGGGTGGCTGACTGCACACAGTATTAAACAACACAGCTTAGTCCAGTTATATATGCATAACACTGACATATGTTATACAATATACATCACATTCTAAAATTCATACTCCAAGTTCTTTAAATTTCCCCAGTAAAAAGCCACAGCATGAAGTCAACCCTTAATCAGTTTCATGTTTACATTTGTCCAGAAAAAAAAAACAAAAACACACAAGCTCGATGTACTGTTCATCAACATCACAACATAAACCCGCTTAATGCATCACTGCTGCTTAATCACTGTACTGCTCGAGGATGAGAAATAGAGCAGCGGATGGCCTTTGTGGTTTAGCCTGTTATTAACAGACTCAGTGTGACGCAACAAGACACTGTTCTGCTGCGCTGCAGGGAGATGTAACCTAACCACAGGCTTGCCTCTCAGCATGTACACATAGGAATGTGAGCGCACACACTCATAAATACACATTGGAGACGCTGCCATTTCTGAAGTGTTAAGAAATCCCACCATCACATGTAACAGCACAATATGTTTATATATGTGCATACACGTATCATCACAAGATTGAATGCACTGAATCACCTTGTCCTACTTTCAAAAAGTTGAGTTCAAAGTCAGTCTGGGATTCGTTGCTAATTTAAATAAACCTTTATTTATTAGCTTCTGACCAGAATTTTTTTATCATCTGAAAACTGATAATAATTACTGCAACTTTCCATGTTTAACTTACTTCGTTATTGTAGATGTGTGAAAAACCTTAGCTACTTAACAGTCCATCGTCACCATAGCCTGTTTCCACTCCTGATGATGCACCAGGCATTTTTAAAGGAACAGATCTGGATCACACAAAAAACCCCAAAAAGGCACAGGCATATGTTTCTATAGGCATACATTTCTACATTGGTTAATGTCCGCTAAATAGACTAACAACCCACTTCTGTTGTTATTTAGTGTGTTGATGAAAGCAACAAAATCCTCTCATTTTGCTCAATGTAAAGGTTTAGGTGTGTCATCAAACTTTGTTTTGCATTTGTAGGTCGTGTTCTTACTTTCTTGGGAATTGGGTTTTGAATTTTAAATCACAAATACTTTTTTCTGTCATTTCTATCTGCTTTCAATCTGCTTCCTAACCGGCCTCGCTTCATCCTTTCTGCTGCCCCATCTGTAGCCAACGGTATTGTGCTTTCACACTGGCAGCAGAAGCCATTCATCAGCCTGACACAAGTCTCACGTGCTCACGAGCACAAAAACACACATGAATGCTGAGTAACACAGAGATGGAAACATGCACTCAGACAAACACTGGAGTAACTTAAATGATGAACATGAACAGAAAATAAAGGTGTTTATTAACATCAGCGAGATGTAATTTATTTTCAAAAAGCAGTCATAATGGCGTGTGTGTGTGTGTTCTTCTGTGTGCACATGCAGTGACACCAGAAAAGAAACAACGTAAGTCTTCAGAGGGATAAGATGACAGAAATCTGACACACACCTGCTTTCTCATTTAACCTGTCCTAGAATACCTGCTGTTCCAGGTTAAAGGAGGGCATAGAGACAAATATATAAAACGTATCCTCCCCACTTGCCACAAAGCAACCGCAAAGAGGTAATACAGAAAAGACGCATAGACAGTACAGCGACAGAAAAGAAAAAAGAAAGAAGAACAGAGATAGGGAGCTCACTGCCCCCCCGCCCCTTTCCGGGTTGAGGTTGGGTTATTGGCAACAGTTCAGCTTTTTGTTCGTAGTTTCCTCCCTTCTACCACCCTCTCCTCTCCTCTCCCTTTCTCGATGCCTCTCACATTCCAGGGGTTGTACACTCACTGTCTGATATTCACATAAACAGAATGGCCAAAGTTTTAACACAATAAAACCACTAGGCATAGTTTAAAATAGGGTTACATGATAAATCCTTTTGCCTTTTCAGAACACAAAAAAGAGCAGTGTTCACCCACCCTGTTTGACAACTAGTGATGTAAACTTTATGATGTAAACAGTGCATTTAGCTACTGTCGTGGATGTGATCATCATCATTTTTACTTAAAACTAAACTGTGAATCTTTGCAGAAATTCCCAGGTGCTTTGACACAAAGTCAAAGCTCTAGGGAATCCATACCGACATTGTCAGCATTGGCTCCTTAATTGGGAAAATTACTTTATTTTACTCTGCAAAGCAAAACAAAATAACTGCAAAAAAAGGAAAATACCTGTTAAAACGATAAAAACTCCTGCTCCTAAACGCCAGCAGTGGCCTGTTTTCTGCTAAATAACAAACTTCGGTAATTCAGAGAAGTTTTGGAAGAGTTTCAGGCAAAGTCTTCTGATGAATTCTAGACCATTTGGATTTGGAAAATCATTTAACTACTCTTGATTGGATAACCAGCATAACCTGGTCTTCGGTTTGCTCCTAAGATTCTCTTTGGGATTTTAGTCATGACCTTTCACATGTCAACTTCTTTTGTTTTTGCTTTGTTTCAAATAGAACACAAATCAATTTTACTCTAGTGCTACTGCTCACATACTGCAATTTTCCTGTACTCCTGCTGCCCTGCAGCAGGGGGCAGTGGTTGGGAGATCCACTCCATCAGGGACTCTACCCCAGGAGCAACCAGCAAGCACAAAAGCTGTGACAAATCTTTTTAACACTGGCCTCAGTCCTTTCACATCAAATATAGATAAGAGTCACAGAACAAATCCAAAGATGGTTTAGCCCTCAACCCATTTGATTCAGATCAGTTCCCCTGAGGCATTGAGGGCTCTATTCTGAGGTTAATGGTCGAGCTCTACAACTCAGTCAACACCAATTTCTTGGATGTCTTCCTCTCAGCCAGCCACTGTAACAACATAGACTTGTCCCAGTCACTTACCCAAAGGCTTCTCCACAGGCAGATATGGAGCTGCACATTCCATTCCCCTGATGATGTAACCACCAGATAAGGTCACAGAACAGCAGAGGGGGTCATGGGTAATATGTGACTAAGTGCTGCAACCACCAGCTGAAATAAACTTGGCTGGGGTGAGTCAGCATATATACAGTATTCATGGCAAAATGTGTGTCTGAACATGACATTTACTCCCACCAGGGTGGTTTAAATCTAGATTTGGAAGTCAACAGTTTTACTCCTCAGTTCGTCAGGGGTGATGAGGTATATGATGGCTTTTCATTTTTCCACCGTTGAATAAACGGAGGCTCAGAGAGTGGAACATCTCCCCCACACTCACATAGGCATGTACTGAGCACCCTGGCTGTACCATTACACTAGAAAAGAACACCCTACAAAGGCACACCCAAATCTCACAACCCAGTGTACATGTACACACACACACATGCTAAAACACACGCAGACGCACAAAAACATGCTGCCCTTCAAACAGTTTTTCGCAGCCTTTTATTGGCAGCACGCCCAGTGGTTAGAGCGTTTCATTTTTCCCTGTGTATGGAACTGGGCAGCTGTCCAGGCAGACACACAAAGAAAGAGAGAAAGACTGGGAGAAAGAGAGACAGCGAGGGGGTGGAGGGGTTACTGAGAGAATGAGAGCAGCAGAGAAGGAGGGAAGAAGAGGACCAACAGGAAAACAAGAAGAGAATTGCCTAGACCCGTTTACAACTACCTCCCTCCGAAACGTTATGACTAACTGATATGATCCTCACTCGCTCTCTCTCTCTTACGCACACAAACACACACACTTGTTCTTGGCTTGACACCATGTTGTCCTGTGGCCTCACTTTCAACAACAACCTCCCCCATCTGCATCCTATCTCTCCCTTTTCTTCTTCTTCTTTTCTCTTTTTGGGAGCTGACCATTCCCCCCCTGTGGGAACTACCACCATCACCACCACCACCTCCTTCTCCTCTTTACTCCCCTCTCCCCCGGCCCGCTTCTCTCAAGCTCTATTCAGAGTGAGTGCTGCTTCTTCTCTGTGATGTTTCTGACAGCTTCGCATACACACACACAGAGAGAGACATACACACACACGTAGACACACATAGCTCCTCTGCAAACAAACACCATGAATACTAACATTGCTTTGTGTCCACTACACTTAAGGAGGGGTGGAGGGGGTGCAGAGAAAAGGAGGGAAAAGCGGTAGAGGAGAAAAGAGGAGCTGTGGAACCGTGTTGATCTTGTAGCCAGTCACACACTCAGCCACCCCCCTCCAACACTGGGCCACCTCCCACCCTCCTCCTTCCTTCCCTGTTCCTCGTTCTCTCGTTCTTCTTCCCACCAGTTCTCCCGGGAATAAAGACTTCCATTCATGCGCCTGTGGAGACCCACAGCAGGGGAGAGAAAAGTGGGAGGAGAGAGAGAGAGGGTGGAAAAGGAGCCAGAGGGGTGTCAAGGTGGGACTGCTTGTGGATCAGGCCTGCGGCTTAGAACTGTGTGTACAAGTATGTCTGTTTTCACTCAGCCAGGGCTTCACTATCTCAGATATAATGGCATTCGTGCCAGCCACAGCATCTTCTGGGAAAGTTTGGAAAAAAGGCCCCTAATCAAACTTCACTTCTTGGAGCCTGTGACCACAGTTTAGATATAGTTTGACAGTACCAGACAGAATGCCACTTTTCTGCAGCAACATT